ATCACTCATTACAAATTCTCAAGAGTCAATATTTGTTGCCTAGTATATCTCCTCAGACAGTGCTGTAGTCGCACGACACACACGTCTATTGTCAATATCAAGTCACTACTGTGTGATAGGCTATAACTTTTTACCATATATGGTCTGTCCAAGACCCCTGCTGTTGGACATTTGACCTTTGCATAACAGCATGGGTCTGCAACTGGTGGAAATGGGAGCTAGGGAAGGCTGTTGTGTGTCTTGACATTCCTGTGTGCTCAAAAGACTGAGGGAGGAGACTATGCACAACATGTATTTTGGCTCCATGTGGTTGTATGGGCTTGACCATTTGCTTGGTCACCATGCCTGAGAACTGGACTCTCACAGCTTGGTCCTGACCCTAGGCCTGAGAATGGGGAACTGGGTCTTTGAAAACCCATCTGTCCCCATCTGAGTCACGTCCTGAATACATCCTAAGTGTACTAGAGCCAGGTTTCCCCTCTCCACAAGATGTGACATCTTTGCTCTCAACAGAACATCCTTAAGTGAACATAGATATTCAACCATAGAGGGAGGGTCCAAAAAGGATTCACTTTGAGCTAAGCCTAAGTTATCATTGGACCTCACTTGCCCCCGGCTACCCCTTGCCGACACATCAGGCTGGAACAGACTTCACCAGACCTTGAGCTGAGGGCAAGGACTGTAATGCAAAAGAGAACTGATTAGCAGATAGATGACTCTCTACCTACTGTTGGTCTTTGGAAAACCAAAAACACTCTGAAATACATTGAAAACTTTGCTCATCTCCACAGTAACCACATAAACAGGCAAGGGGGACAGAGAGAATGAGTTCTCTGGTCCCACCATGTTGGACTGAATCCTGTCCTGCGAAACCCCCAGTGAAGATGTGGTTAACTTACCAACTGACTGTAAGACCTTCCTTTAGACTATGCAGTCATGTCTCTGTTGTAAAGCCTGCTGGTATACAAAGCCACTATAAACCAGCTGACAGCTCCGCTTAGCACACTCGAGCACCTACTCTTAACTGTACAAATCCCATTGAGGTAAATAATACATACAGAATGAGGATTATTAAAGGCATTATCAACAGTCTGCCTGCAACCTGAAACCATGCAGATCCTTCTGATGGCAAGTAGAGCAGTAGATGAGTAGATGAAGAAAACCCAGGTGAAGTTGCCTTGTCAAGTTCATATATCACCACCGGTTTGTCGGCCATTACACAACAAGCAGCAGGAAGGTATTGAAGACCACCTACCTGCTCTGATAATCATTTGCTCATCGCTAAGTTCAGCAAGGTCAGACATGACGAATTAAGGGAAACTGCTAGACAAAACATAAGAGAACTGTCAAGAAAAAACAAAGAAAGAATGACAAGTGCATTGCACAGGAGAATAGCCAACACTGTGGAATATGACTTAAAACTGTTAAATGTGGGAATGCAGATGCAGCTGGGTAGTATGAAAACTGTTAATGCTAGCATAAGAAGCAGGTTGTATATAAAACAAACTAATTTGAATACAATTCAACGCCATTTTTTATACTTACACAATACTAAAAGCTATAGGCTATTACAGTAACATTTTTCCATAATATAAAAACAGTTATTAATATTCAATCTGGTAACTGTTACATATGAAAGTAAAACTTCAACATATATTTTGTCAGTGACGTTTTTTGGGGGAACCTGGCATACTACACATTAAAAACATTTTTGTCACAACATCAGCCCCTAGTTACCCATGCCCTCTCAGCATCTTTAAACATTATGGAGGGTAAAGGACAGTCAATGTTGTGGGTTCTATGACCCTCCAATTCTTATGGTGCAGGACATAAAATCATTTAGTGTAAAAAGATCGCAATCAAAAACAAACTGAGAGCGATTCAAGAAGCAATAGAGTAGGGAAAGTCAAAAAAAAAAAAAGGTAATATAAGGAAAGTTTCTGCTTCATGTAGCATAGTCAGCTGCCCTCCACATGCCACACATAACCTTCAAGCTTTAGGAATAGCCCCATGAAAGTATAGCTACACAGAAAACTATCGTCAGGAGGGTGTCAAAACATTCAATAATGAACAGAACCTTATGTTAAGGAAGGATTAGTAATTTGGGTTTTGAATTTGTCACATCTGGTTCATGTCCGAATAGTCGTTCCAGAATTCATAAAAATTCACTGTGAGATTATGATTTTATTTATGTAAGGGATGAAAAATACCTTGCAATATTCAGATAAGCCACATGTACCCAAAAGTTCTTGGAAAATCAGGGATACTGACACTTTCAAAGTATTAAAAACTATATTTCAAAAACAAATATAGTTGTGTTAGAATGTTTAGCATGATTGCCTAGTTATATTTTTCTGTGTAGCAGTATATCATGACCATTACTATCCTTTTTTCACAGTTTCATGCTCTCCACATATATTTTGCATTTCATATGAAGAAGTAAAGAGAGTAGCAAGTAATCTTAAACTTCCAATGTAATTTGCTGCCTACCATGGAGCTG